GGGGGCGAGAATGAGGAGAGAGAGAGAAAAAGAGGAAAATAGAGTGAAAAAGGAAAGGATAAATACAGAGAGAGAGAGAGCGGGGAGAGACTATAATGAATATTATCAGACATTACAAAACTACTATTATTAATAGACAATAATCGATTTCTACTCACCAAACTACCAGAAAGATTATCAGACACAGCAAAAGTAGAATCAATACCACAGTGAGGACGATATATTCTCTCTTAACACCAGGACCAATCACTGTTAGATGTTCAGAATCACTGCAATGGTAACTGTTGCATGCCCTCACAGTCACCTCATGCTCCTCACCTGCTGTTAAACCATCCAGCTGTCAAGAATCACAGAACACCAATTTACAACCTTGAATAAAGAAATGAAATGAATACTATTACACTATTCTCTTTCTTTCTTTTTTTTTCTTTCGAACTAAAACACGAGAGACCTTACTAACCAGACATTCGAAGTCTTCACTGACATCAGCAGCGCAGGAAAGGTTACGGCCGTCCAGCTCGACGACATAGAAAACGAGTCCCCCGGCCATGTCCACAGAAGGCTCCCATGACAGGAAAACCTGGCCATCTGATATGCTGTAATTGACTCTCTGCGGCGGTGAGGGCACTGAGGGAAACAGGGGACTTCAAAAGTGAGTCTTAAGTGTCTAGCGATATTAGTGATAATGATGATAACGATAATAATAATGATAATATCAACAGTAATGATTTGGGGTCTGCTGACAGGCGCTTGTAACTTCGGTCAACTTGTGGTTATCTGTTTATCGTATTTCTCCCTGTGTGCAAAAATTGGCCGGGCTTATCACCCACTGGCTGTGGAACTAAGATCCGTAAAACTGCTAGATGAGAACGCTATATAAATGTGTGTGTGGACTTTTAAACGCAGGTTTCTCTAAATCACAAGCACGTGTATAAGCACACACATACTTCTACCTACATTTGCACAGAAAAAAATGAAACAAGAGTAAGGTTATGTACATAAAGGTGAAGAGTCTAAGATACTCGATACGATACCCCTTGATCAAATTATGGAAGATGCTTTATTTATAACACTATCTATTCTATAAATCAGATCCACCATCTGTTATTGAATCAAATACCAGATTGTCTCAGTAAGTGTTAAAATCTACAATTATATTTTTTTTCTTAAGTACGGCTACCATCGAAAAGTACTCTATCCTCTATAAATGAATGAAAAATCCACGCTGCGGAAACCAATGCAGGCTTTAACTTTGGCCAATTCGCCACTCTGTAGTAAGCTGCCGCTCTTACTGCCCCTTTCGGCGGCCCACGCCTGCTCAGCATCTTCCAAAATACGCATAAAAAGTCCCCGCGACCAAAATAACAAGTTTGGACAAGGGCGCGAAGATATTGACGGAGGCGCTGCAGAAGGTACCATCTGACGGAGCTGCTGCAGAAGGACGATGGAGACACCCTGGACATTTTTTTTTTTTTTTCTTTTTTTTTACGAGGAGATATTGCCCAAGAAATGCGAGACATAACGACGTCCTGATATTCCCCTCGAGGCCTGCGAAGGATGACGTCAGGAGGTCGCCCTCGTAGATACGCTTATTTCAAGATGGCGCCCAAGATGGCGACGGACAAGGTTGAGGGAAAATCTTCAACGGGCATTTGGCGCCAAACCCCTCACAGCTAGCCCACGGATATCATTTATATCGTGTATTGAAATTTATATATATTTATATAAACCGTATTCATGTCGACAAATGTAGAAAAGGTATGAATGAGATGAAGAGATGAAGACGAAGATATAATTCGAAACCGGTCAAATACATCTCTTGTATTGTGAAGATACCCATTCTCATTCATACCTTATGTATATATGTTCCTTTCTCTTAATGCTTATTTTATTCTATGTATACTTTTCTTCACTGAACATCCTTTTAATTTTCACAAACACGGCAATCTACTGCTAAATTTGTATTTTGAAAGAAACATTCTGAGAAAGCAGACATGTAACAAAGAAACGAGTCTAGATGCGCGAACATCTCCTGGCGCACGACCTTGTTTGCGCAAATAAGAGCAACCGCCTTATTTAGCGGCAATTGGATTTCTTTCAGATAAGCACCTCCGTTATTCTTACTTTCTGACATTTTTCTTTTTCTTTTTTTTTTCTTTCTTTCTTTCTTTTGCGTACAGTTTTCATGGATCTCACAGTGTGTCTGGAATTGTAACAAGTATTGTTTTTGTTCATTTTATTTAAGAATTCCCCATTTCACGTGTATTTGTGTTGTACTTTTATTATTTATTTTTTTCTTGTGTTACTGGTGTCATTTTAATAATAAGAGTTTTGAGTTTTGCCTTATGTTTCGTTTTTTTCCTACAGTAAATATGGCTGAAGACTTGAAATAACAATAATAAAATGCAATAAATAATGAATAAACTCTTCATAGAAGTATAAAGAAAATCCTAAATATCTCTTCAATTGATCTTATTTCAACGGTTTGGCTTTCAAGATGTGAATTTACTGACTTTGATGAATAAATATAAATGATAAGCTTTCAAAATTTAATTAATTTGTTCTAACATTTTCTCTTTTAGTAGTAAGTTTAATCTAATCTGATTATTTCATTTTACGTCTTATCAATTATAAGCTTTTGAATTATTATCTTTTCCGTGTATACTTTGGTCACAAGATTTTGTTTCGCATATCGTAGTAATGGCAAACGCTAACAAGTATGATACATCACAAGAGATGCGTCACTAATGATTGAACAATCATTAGTGACGCATCTCTGTGCTGCTACCGGTGGCTTAGGTCTCATTGGCTTCTATGGCCCCGCAAATTAGGGGGGGGGAGAAGACCTAGAAACCCCTACAACTTCAGTAAGCCTTCAATGCATGCACTATACACTATACATGCACTATGTAATATTCCAGCCACCATACCAATACATAATAGTATTTTCAAGGTTCACACACGACGGTCTGATGGTGCTCCACGAAGTTCCGTTTGCAAGCTATTCTGCTAATTGCGTCTTTGAGTTAATACAATATGCAAATCCACGATAACAGGAAAGTCACTGTGAATTTTAAACATACCTCCTTGTTGAGTCCTCGTTGCTAGACCATAGGGTTCTCCGAAGCTCTGCATGCCAGCATTCCGAGCGTAAACCTTGTGAAGACATAGAACTTTCTTATAATCAAGACACAGAAGCAAGAACTAAGCTATTCCATGATAAAAGTACACTTAAAACTTCATCATTATTGTTCTTGTTATCATCATCACCATCCTCATAGTAATGGCAGTAATGACGATAACAGATGATAAGAAAAAGAAAAAATAATCATCAATTGTATTACTTTTTGACCATTATATTATTAACTAGAAAAGCACTCAGAGAGTGCAGACCTCTGCCAAGGTGCGTATATAATGTACTTACACCGCTGCTGCGTCCAGACGGTAATTCAGAATGTCACCAAAATTTAATCAGTTCTAAGTTAGTCCCTTTCTGATTTGTCCACAAAATTTCGATGAAATCCGGCCAGCACTTTTTGAGCTACGCTGCTAACAAATAAAAAACAACAACAAACCAACGCCGTCAAAAACATAACCTCCTTGGCGGAGGTAACAATAACAATAAAATGGGAGATGGTGAAATGTGGCACACGTTTACCGTAGATTTGTGTACCGAACTTGGATAGTAAATTTATTGATTAAATAAATAATGATAATAATAAATAACCAGACGGTAATTCGGAATGTCACTAAAATTTAATCAGTTCTAAGTTAGTCCCTTTCTGACTTGTCCCCAAAATTTCGATGAAATCCGGCCTGCACTTTTTGAGCTACGCTGCTAACAAACCAACAAACCAACGCCGTCAAAAACATAACCTCCTTGGCGGAGGTAATTATTGGAATGCCACACCTATGATTCTCTAAAGTTGTTTGGCTGAATTAAATTCTAACTTTTTGGTGTGATACACCCGAGACGTCATCTACTTAATCTGACCGTAAAATCGTCCTTCATGCACCCTCATATGTCTTAATCTTAAATACAACCCAAAGGTCTACACATTTAAAAACAAATTTACTCCATTCGTAACATATCCATACCGCAAAATTTACTTATATAATAGTCATGAACATTAATCTACACTGAAAACACACTCATCACCACAAATGCATTCTTGACACACTCTTAATCTGCTCTGTTATTTATTTGTCTAAGCCTTATCACCACTAAAACCAAGTCAAGAGGTTTATCTCTCAGCAAAATTCCTCTCGATGAAATTTCGACACAATGCGTGATCTTGCTGATAAACAAACTTTCCCTCTCTAGCGGATCCCATAAGTACCGCTTGGCTCCATTAGCCAGATTTTGTAAGCGACTACAGCTGATGCAAAACCCCAAGATACAACCTGTAGCAGCACACAAAGTTACCTGTACGTAGTAATCTTCGCCAGCCTCCAGGTCCGTAATGGTGTGGGATCGTCGTCCCTCTTTGCCCTCGGGGACTTCGGACAAAAGCAGGTCTATATACAAGCTTGTCCACACTCTGGTACCACGGTTCCATGTTACTCTGAATCCTTCAAGTTTGCCCCTGAGAGGGTTGTCGGAAGGGTCGAACCAGGTCAGAGTGAGGGAGTGGGAAGCGGCAGACACCTTCAGATCCGTGACCTTCCCAGGAGCTGCAGAAAGGATATTCCAAATGTGTCAGTCCTAGCATAGGAGTCCTTTTCTAGATCACAATAAAAAGTCACGTGGCAATCTATTCTTTATACTCCTTTATGATCGTTTTATTTTAAGCATCTTGAACTAATGTACAAAATGTCCAATAAAATCAATTTAAGATAATAGATTTCTGAAATATTCCTCGAACACGTATTTGGTTAACTTCTGACTACGGGAAAAATGTATATGGAATGCTGATAGCAAATTTCCTTCTCCATCACTTATATATGCAAACAAACACTTGCCTTCCGAAGGAGTAATGAATGTTGTGAACCCTTTCAGT